GGACAGGGGAACAGGGACACGGACAGGGGACAGGGACATGGACAGGGAACAGGGACACAGATGGGGACAGGGACATGGACAGGGAACAGGGACACAGATGGGGACAGGGACACAGATGGGGACAGGGGAACAGGGACACGGATGGGGACAGGAACAGGGGAACAGGGACACGGACAGGGGAACAGGGACACGGACAGGGGAACAGAGATACAGACAGGGGAACAGGGACACAGAGAGGGGACAGGGACATGGACAGGGAACAGGGACATGGACAGGGGACAGGGACGCAGATGGGGACAGGGACATGGAGAGGAGGACAGGGTCAGGGGAACAGGGACACAGATGGGGACAGGGGAACAGGGACACAGACAGGGGAACAGAGATACGGACAGGGGAACAGGGACACAGAGAGGGGACAGGGACATGGACAGGGAACAGGGACACAGATGGGGACAGGGGAACAGGGACAAGGACGGGGACAGGAACAGGGGAACAGGGACACGGACAGGGGAACAGAGATACGGACAGGGGAACAGGGACACAGATGGGGACAGGGACATGGACAGGGAACAGGGTCATGGACAGGGGACAGGGACACAGATGGGGACAGGGACACGGAGAGGAGGACAGGGACAGGGGAACAGGGACATTGATGGGTACAGGGACACGGAGAGGAGGACAGGGGAACAGGGACAGGGACCGGGACAGGGGGACAGCAATGCCACCACCTCCAGGACCGTGATGGGTACAGGGACAGGGGGACAGCAATGCCACCTCCAGGATGCAATGTCACCACGGGACACGGAGAGGAGGACAGGAACAGGGGAACAGGAACACAGATGGGGACAGGAACAGGGGAATAGGGACACGGACAGGGACAGGGGACGGCAACACAGACAGGGATAAGGGGACAGCAATGCCACCTCTGGGACAGTGATGGGGATAGGGACAGGGGGATAGCAGTGTCACCTCCTGGATTGTGATGGGGACAGGGACAGGGGGACAGCAGTGCCACGTCCAGGACAGGGACAGTGACACAGGGACAGAGAAAAGGGGACAGCAGTGCCACCTCCAGGACGGGGACAGCGACAGGGGGACAGGGACAGAGGGACACCCTCAGGAGTGAGGATGGGAGGATGGCAGTGCCACCCCCAGGAGGGGGACACGGGGACAAGGACAGGAACTGGGACAGGAGGGTCCCAGTGCCACCCCCAGGGTGGGGACAGGGACCCCACTGTGGTGTCCTCGTCCCTCCCAGCGCTACCAGCTCAAGGCCGGTCCCCACCCCCGGGAATTCCTTGGGAATTTTTCGGGAATTGGGAGGATCACCATGGGCTGGGGGGTCCCAGCTGGGCCTTGGGATGTCCCCGTGGTGTCCCCATGGTGTCCTCACAGTGTCACGGCTCAATAAATGTCCCTGTGCCTCCTGAACTGGGAATACTGGGAATTTCGGGAATGCTGGGAATGTCGGTGATGCCAGGGATGACCGGGCACATCCAGCTGGAGGAGGTTGGCACTGTCCTCGCCATGGGTCGCGTTGGGGACCCGTCGGTGCCAGGCTGGTGACGGGTCCCGCCGTGCTTTGGGCGTACAAGCACGAGGGAGATCTCACTGTGCACGTGGGGCCGGGGACAGCTCTGGGCGTGGGGACAGCGGGCACAGGATGGACCACGAGGTCCCCATCCTGTCCTTCGAGCAGCTCCTTGTTTGTGGGAGAAGTGGTGGCACCGGTGGCAGCCACAGAGGTGACTGTGTGAGGTGGCTTTTTCTACACTTCCCACAAATTTCTCCTGAAGAAGTCCTCAATATTCAATTTTGGGACAAAATAGGGCATGAATTGATAACATTGGGAAAGTCTGGGAATGAGTCTTCAGCAAAATTCTGGAGTTTATAAGTTCGAGCAGCCTTGCTTCAACAAAGGGAAATGGAGAAAAAGCCAAATAACAAGGAAGGTACCTCTGCTCTTCCCGTGGATGGTGGCAGAGAATGAGAGGCATCTGCAGCAGGATGGGCATCACCTGCAGCAGGATGGGCACCATCTGCAGCAGGATGGGCAACATCTGCGGCAGGATGGGCATCTGCAGCAGGATGGGCACCATCTGCAGCAGGATGGCATCTGCAGCAGGATGGGCACCATCTGCAGCAGGATGGGCACCATCTGCAGCAGGATGGGCATCTGCAGCAGGATGGCATCTGCAGCAGGATGGGCATCATCTGCAGCAGGATGGGCGTCACCTGCAGCAGGATGGGCATCTGCAGCAGGATGGCATCTGCAGCAGGATGGGCAACATCTGCAGCAGGATGGGCATCTGCAGCAGGATGGCATCTGCAGCAGGATGGGCACCATCTGCAGCAGGATGGGCATCTGCAGCAGGATGCCAGTCTGCTCTAAAAGAGATTTGATATTTCAGTCACTGACCCACGCATTTCACACCCTGCGGGGTTTCGGCTCACAGCGCGTGGGGCATCACCGATGCTGTCCCATCCCCGTCCCCGCGGGTGTCACTCTCCATGAGCTGAACCAGGTGTCCCACAGTGTCCCCATCCCCACAGCAGACAGCAAGTGGGGTCCCTGGAACCACTGGAGCCTCTGCTCCAAGACCTGCGACACCGGCTGGCAGCGGCGCTTCCGCATGTGCGAGGGCACGGGCATGCAGGGCTACCCCTGTGAGGGCACTGGCGAGGAGGTGAAGACCTGCAACGAGAAGAAATGCCCAGGTACGGGGTGCCCCCCACCCCACAGTGCCCCTCACCCCATATCTGGGCCGTGCTGATACCCCTTTTCCCCCCCAGCCTACCACGAGATGTGCAAGGATGAGTACGTGATGCTGATGACTTGGAAGAAGACGGCTGCAGGGGAGATCATCTACAACAAATGTCCCCCCAATGCCACAGGTGAGCCCAGATGTCCCCAGAGCTGGCACAGGGCAGGGGGTGGTGGGGGATTGAGCACCCCAAACCCCAGGGGAAGTGCGTGGCATGAGGGACAAGTGGCCCAAACTCCTCTGGGCTGGAGCAGAGTAAGGGGTGTGGGTGGCATTTGGGTTGAGCAACCCCAAACCCATGGGTAGGGGGTGGCGTTGGGGTCAGGCCCCTGGAGCGGGGCAGGGGGCGAGGGTGGCATTTGGGTTGAGCCACCCCAAAGCCTCAGAGACAGGGGGTGGCA